GGTCAGTTTGTGATTCAATCTATTTGCTGCCTTATTGCAAATAAAAACATCCTTTAATAAACCGAACAAAAGAATTTTAATATAAACAAATTATATTGTTATGTACAATTTTCTAAATATTGTTTGATACTTTATAAATACTTTCATACAATGGATAAAAGTAACTGAGCTACAAAAGAGTTAGAAAACGGATATAATCCGACTTTTATCCTCATTGATGAGGTTTGTTTGATGAACAATGGCGTTATAAAGTGTTCGCTTTTATGTTTCTTTTTATATCGATATTTAATTTTAAAAGACATGTAGTAACAATTTACCTAAAGTAAATATAACACGATTTTCTTTTATATATTTATATATATTATATATAAAAGAAAGTCGTGTTAGTTACACTAATTATAACTCAAGAACGGCTTTACTGATATGGTTGAAAATTGGTGAGGAGGAAGCTTAGAGCCAGGAGACTGACATAGGATACTATTTATTCTTTTTTTTCGAATTTAAGCCTTGAAGAGCTGCTTTTTATTTTAACTTATCTATACATTAAGTTTTTTAATATATCCACGCGGACGGAGTCGAAGGCGACAGTTATTTTACAAATAACACTTATTAATAGTTAAGTATGTAAGGGTTTATTATTGGAAAATTATTAGCAGATTTTTGTTAATTTACTAATATTTCTTGTACCAGTAAAACTAAGCTCTATGCTTGTGCTAGGATATGGTTTACGACAATAGTCGAATGGCAGGATTCGAACCCCCGACCTCGTGATCGGAAATCCGTACCCTTAACCATTAGGCTATTGTTACAATAATACACTTAATAAAACCATATCTGGAAAAATTACTTCTTGCTAATATTTTAGTGCGGATGTTAAGATGGATGGATGGATGTTTGTTTAAAGGTATCTCCAGAACGGTTGAACGGATCCCGATGAAATTATGAATACATGTAGGCTACTAATTATTTTTTTTTTATTTCCTGGCGGACGGAGTCGCGGGCTACAGCTATTGTATCATAAAATCACATATAACATAACGTAGACATAAGAATACGTCAGAAGTCATCAAAATAGTGTTAAGGCAGTAAGCGCGCGTCAGCACTGAATAAGAATTGAAAATAAAACTCGTCGTATCAGCGGACGTGTTGCGAAACTCAAGAGCAAACCCTTTGATCCCTTTTAGACACATTGCGAATACGTGATAGTAATACATCGTGCATAAAACAAAATAGTTATATGTAGCTAAATATTATTTCGATTAGTTTTAATGAAAATAAATACATTAATAATGTACAAACAAACTGTACAACATTCCAAACAAATGTATAGTTACATGTACACTACATTGCAAAATTATGGTATACGTAAAAAGTTAAGGTGGATTTAATGTCATATGCCTTACTTACTAAACCCGACTTTAATAATATTGTAACGATTATTAACATTTAAAAAAAATACTTCTACGTATTATTTCATATTTTTCAATAATCATTCTATTTTATTGACAAGTAGCTTTCGCCTGCGACACCGTCCGCGCAGAAATAAAAAAAAAAAGTTTATTAGTAGCCTAAGTGTTCTTCCTTGTTCTACGTCTATGCCAAATTTCACCCGGATCCGTTCAGCTCCATCCATCTAAACATTCGCATTTATAATATAAGTAAAATTAATAACAAGGAATCTTATCAA